TGTAGGCATTCTGTTAATCAAATAAGTGGCTGTTAAAACGGCTTCTCCCCAAAGATACTTAGGAACCTTAGTTTGAAAACTTAGGGCTCTAACAACTTCAAGGAGATGTTTGTTTTTCCTTTCAGCCACCTCATTTTGTTGAGGTGTATTATTACAAGAACTTTGGTGTACAATTCCTTTCTCAGCAAAAAAATTCCCTAACACATTGTTAAAAAATTCCTGCACAGGGTGTATATGAAGAAAAGAATTGCGAAGTGCCGGTCATATGATCAGTGGCACCTGAATCTAGTATCCAGGAGCCATTAGATTTGGTACAAGCAATGGCTGCAGTGAAGAAATTACCTGACTGAGCTAGAGAACAGGATGGGTTAAAGTTTCTTAACGATTGAGATTTAAACATTTTATATAAGTGCTCTATTTGTTCCTTTGTGAAAGGAAGAGACTCTGAGGATGACTACTGCCCTGGATCTAAGTTGCTTACTTGAAGTGCGCGGACATCTCCCCCTGACTTGTTGTCATTGCCTGATTTTTTCTTCCAACCCGCCGGTTTCCCGTGCAGCTTCCAGCATGTTTCCCGAGTATGCCATGGCTTTCTACAATGATCACACCAAGGCCTCTGCTTTCCTCCTCGTTTCTCTCCGTCTAAGTCTACACCTCGGGCCACAAGAGCGGACCCTTCATTCTCTGTTTTTGTTTCACTAACATTCTTTAACATCACTTGCCGCCATGCTTCTTCTCTACGCACTTCTGAAAAAACCTCTCTTATAGTAGGCAAGGGCTTTCGTCCTAAGATACGTCCCCGAACCTCATCGAGTTCTTTGTTCAAACCAGCCAAGAAGACAAAAACCCGGCCTCTTTCTATCTTCTTTTTGTACCGAGCACTGTCACTGGGACTTTCCCATTCTTCTTCAAATAAATCCAACTCCTGCCAAACAGCCATCATCTCATTATAATAGGCTGTTACTTCACATTGACCTTGCTGCAACTTCCACATTCGGGTATTCAGTTCGAACAATTGTGAATGATTGTCCAAATCTGAATAGGTTTCCCTAACAGCTTCCCACATATCGCGAGCCGTTGGCAGAAACATGAATGGTTTTCCAACCACCGGATCCATAGAGTTGATAAACCAGGCGGTAACCATAGAGTTTTCAGAACGCCACTGCCTGTACTTTGGATCATCAGTTGCTGGTGGTTTCACTTCGCCATTCAAGTAGCCGAGTTTCCCTTTGCCGTCAATCACCAACCGCACGGACTGAGACCACTCAAAATAATTTTTTCCATTTGGTTTGTGAATGGTAATTTGAAGGGAATTCTCAGAAAGAGAAATAGCCGCAAGCTGAATACCTCCCTCCGAAGACATCACACCACTGGTAGCGTCCGAAGATGCTGAACTTGAGCCAACCATGGCGGCCTTAAAATTCATGATCGAACCCTATGGCTCTGATACCATGTTGAGAAATATAGAGGGAGAAAAGAAGAAGATTTTCTTTATTGATAATTCAAAACATATTGAGAATACACCTTAAATAAGAAAAGATAGGAGAGACAAACTCCTAGAATTTCTCTCAATCAGGGATTGACTAAATCTTTCCCTTAATCCTAGGATCTGACTTTCCTAAATTTATTTAAATCTAATCTTTCCTAAATTTATTAAAATCTCAAATCCTGTCTTTCTTAATTTGCCGCAAATCCTGTCTTTCTTAATTTGCCGACAGTGACCTTTCCTTTAAAACTAGTTACAGAATTATAAGTACAAAAGAAATTACACAAAAGCCCAAAATAAAGTAGCCCGAAGAACCCCTTGTTTTGCAAGTGAATCAGCCATTGAGTTTGCTGATCTGCCTACCCACTGAGCTCTGATCAGGGGCACTTTTGTAATTTTCCTTTCTTTTTATTATGAGTTGGGTCACCCTAATATATATGCTAATAGCTGGAGCCGCCAGCTACAAGTTTGAATCCATTTTCTTTGTCTCTCTTCCCTCTTCTCTCTTTCTCCTCTCCTGTTCTCCTTCTCTGATATCTCTCGCCTGGAAACATGGTATCAGAGCAGGTCTTCTGAGATTAGAAGCCGTGAGATCTCTCTCTTCTCTCAGTACTTTTTTTTTTTCAGTTTCTTCTTACTGCAGATTGAACCTGTCAAGGATGCATTGGACTCATCTGAAGTTTTCTATTCCCTTTCTTCCCTTCTCTCTTGGTCGTGTGCCAAGAAACAAATTAAAGAGAGGGAAGTTTGATGCCGTGAAGGTTCTTCCACCTGTTTTCTGTGGATCGCGTGGTCCATTTCTGTACCCAGGTAAGGGAGTTATGGAGGTCTGAATGACTTGTAAGTGCAGTGAGTTTCGGTTCTCAGTCTTGTGGATCGTGTGATCCATTTCTGTACCCAAATAGCTGGGTGATATAGGTCAAAATGACCTGTAACTAAAACAGTGGTTGATTATAATTCTTGGAAACAAAAAAAAAAATGTGGCTGAACCGGGGACTGAACTGTGTCTGAATTGGGGATTGAACTGTGGCTGAACCGGGGACTGAACTGTGTCTGAACTGAATTGGGGATTGAACTGGGGACTGAACTGTGACTGAACTGGGGTCTGAACTGGATGAACTGAAATTGAACAGTGGCTGAACTTCTTTTTAACAGAACTATCCTTTAACATGTCATCTGAGGATTCTATCCTGCCTASCGGGCCCTCCAGTCAAAGTGGAATGAGTGAGGGTTTTGACATGAGTTTTCCCATGGCCGTGAAACCTTTTGATGGTCTTAACTACCTAGAATGGTCAAGGGGAATCAAATTATACATAACAGCCAGGGGGAAGGTAGGCTATATTAATGGTAAAACAAAAGAACCAAAGCCCTAGGGGGTGGAGCATGATAGGTGGGATCAGGAAAAAAGCATGGTAATGTCATGGCTGTTACATTCTATGTTGCCTCCAGTTAGGAAGACCTTCATGTGGGCTGAAACAGCTGTTGAGATTTGGGAGCAGGAAAAATCTACCTATTCAGAGCAACGTCATTATGCCAAAATATACAAGTTGCAAGCTGCCTCCTCTACTTGTAAGCAGGGGGAGAGGACCCTCTCAGCCTATTATTCAGATTTGACCTCAATCTGGAAAGAACTAAATCACTATCAGAACATTGACTGGAAGTGTGATGCTGATGCTAAGGCCTACAAGTCTTTGGTTTCCCAACAGTGGGTGTTTGCCTTCCTCTTGGGGCTGAACTCTGTATATGAGTCCCTCAGAGTTCAGATATTAGGAAGTAAATATCTTCCTTCAGTACAAGAAGTGTATGCTCTAGTTCAATCTGAAGAGAGCAGGTGGAGTGTGATGAATAGCTCCGAGGGGGAGCAGATTGCCTTAGTGTCTAAAGGGAGTATGGGTGTAGGAGGCAGTAATTCCTTTAAGAAAGGTGAATTCCAGAAGAGAGCGGATGATAAAGATAAGTTATGGTGTACTCACTGCTAGAAGGCCAGACATACTCGAGATACTTGTTGGGACCTCCATGGAAAGCCAAAGTGGGCCCAAGAGTTGAGTAAGAAATCAGATCAAAATAAGAAGCCGGGACAGCAGAGTTAGAAAAAGTTTAATGCAGCAAACTTGGCCTCTCAGGAGTCTTAGTCATCTACTGCTATTCACCAGGACCACCCATCCGTTGCCGATCCCCAGGAAGATATCATTAATTCCTTCCATGACCACTTGGATCTGTATGGGAGGGCAATCCGCTAGATGGATTCTACTTCTCCTGCCTCGACTTCTTTTGCATCTACTTTAGGTAATGGTAATCCTGCCACAACCTTCCATGTGTCTTTCCATTCATCTGACTCCCCTTGGATAATTGATTTTGGAACCTCAAACCATATGACGGGTAAGTCAAATTGTTTCCAATCCTATAAACTTTTATCTGGTAGGGACAAAGTGAGATTAGTTGATGGTTCTTTTTCCACAATAGCTGGTAAGGAACCATAACCCTTCCTTTTGGACTTACCCTTTCTAATGTATTACATGTTCTGAAATTAACTATAAGTTTGTTTTCTGTTAGTAGCATTACAAACTCTTTAAACTGTTAAGTGACCTTTTTCCCTTCTTCTTGTGTTCTACAGGATTTGGACTCGGGGAAGACGATTAGTAGAGGTCGTATGGTGGATGGTCTCTACATGCTGGAGAGCAAAGCTAGTCTTGCGGTCATTGAGTCTACGAGTCAATCTAGTATGAGCCAAGTTTACTTATGGCATAGTCGTTTGGGTCATTTATCGTTTGAGTCGTTAAAGGTCTTACTTCCAGATTGTCTTACTTCCAGATTTATTTAAATCAGCGTCAGTGTCTGAGTTCAAATGTCAAACTTGTCAGATGAGCAAACATTGTAGAAATCATTTTTCTTCAAGAAATAATAAATCCAATTTTCCTTTCCATATTGTTTATTTTGATGTTTGGGGCCCTATTACTTTACCATCTAAGCTTGCTTATACATATTTCATTACTTTTATTGATGACTATTCCAGATATACATGGGTGTACCCCATGCGGTCCAGAGATGAAGTACCAAAGATTGTAAAAGATTTTCGACACATGATATTCACCCAATTTCAGACAGATCCAAATTTTCCAGTCTGACAATGCCAAAGAATACTTCCACTGTGATCTCACGGAGTTTTTTGCTTCGTGTGGGTCTATCCATCGTAGTTCTTGTGCCAAAACTCCTCAACAAAATGGTGTTGCAGAAAGAAAAAACTGCCATCTACTTGAAGTGGCTCATGGGTTACTCATCCATATGAGTGTTCCAAAACGTTTTTGGTTGGATGTGTGTTATGTGCTACTTACCTCATCAACCTTATGCCATCTCGGGTGTTAGGGTACAAGGCCCCTCATCAACTCCTATTCCCCAAAGCTCCCCTCTTTTCTATTTCCATTCGTGTATTTGGTTGTCGTTGTTTTGTTCAAAACTTGTCTCCTACCCGTGGTAAACTTGACCCTTATGCTCTTTCTTGTGTTTTCTTGGGCTACCCTTCTTCTCAAAAGGGTTACCGTTGTTTCGATCCCGTCTCTCGGAAATACTATGTTTCTATGAATGTGTCTTTCTTTGAGGGTGATCCCTTCTTCCCGGTTTCTCCTCAGGGGGAGAATAGGGTGGAGGAGAAACAACTTCAAGTACTACCTCCCCAACCTGACCCTCCTTCGTTCCATGTCTTTCTCCATCGCTGCAAGGACCAGCCGAGTTCAAAAGCTGTGGAGCAACTTGAAACTATACCACCACCATCATCAGATTCACCGGGGACAGATCACATTCTACCAGGTACTATTATGCCCGTTGACATTCCTGATCCTATTGCTATTGATTCTTCCTCTGCCAATGACCTTGACATCCCTATTGTACAAAGGAAGGGAGTTAGGTCCTATACCACCAGACATCCTATCTCCCACTTTATCTCATATGAGAACATCTCATCATCCTTTCGTGCTTTTCTCTCTTCCATTGACAATATTCCTATCCCCAAAAATGTGGCAGAAGCTCTTTTAGTACCTGAATGGACAGATGCAATGAAAGAAGAGAGGGGTGCCTAAAATAAAAATGGTACACGGGAATTAGCGGATCTCCCTGTGGAAAAGGAACCGGTAGGGTGCAAGTGGGTTTTTAAAGTAAAGCACAGGGCTGATGGTGCAGTAGAAAGGTACAAAGCTCGGTTGGTGGCGAAAGGGTTTACTTAGGTGTATGGAGTGGACTATGCAGAGACATTTGCTCCGGTTGCTAAGATGAATTCTATCAGAGTTCTCTTTTCTCTTGCTACTAACCTTGATTAGGATCTCCACCAGTTAGATATTAAAAATGCCTTCTTGAATGGTGATCTTGAAGAAGAAGTGTACATGGTGCAACCTCCTGGCTTCTATGCCCAAGATCAAAAAGAAAAGGTGTGCAAGTTAAAGAAGTCCTTGTACGGACTAAAACGGTCACCGAGAGCTTGGTTCAGCAAGTTTCACCTAGTTGTACAACATATTGGTTATAAACAGTGTCAAACTGATCATACACTATTTGTGAAAAAGGRAGAAGGGAAAATTGCAGCCTTGATAGTGTATGTTGATGACATAGTGATCACAAGCGACTGAAAGGTGGAAATTCAGAGACTAAAGGAGTTCCTAGCCACTTAATTTGAGGTGAAGGATCTAGGTCCCTTGAAGTATTTTCTTGGAATTGAAGTGGCCCGTTCGAAAAAGGGGATCTTCATTTCTCAAAGAAAATACACCCTAAATTTATTACAAGATACAGAAAGCTTGGAGTCAAGCCTACTGACTCCCCTATTGATCCAAACCACAGATTAGGTGATTGTCAAGGTGAGACTATCAAGGATGTGAAACAATTCCAGAGACTTGTGGGTAGACTATTATATTTGTCTATGACACGGCCAGACATTGCTTATGCTGTGGGTGTCCTTAGCCAATTCATGCATACTCCTAAGACTACTCACTTAGAAGCATCCGATAGAATTCTCAGGTACCTGAAAAAGTTCCCAGGGGCTGGTTTACTTTTTCGAAAGAATGGTCACTTGAAGGTTGAGGTGTATACAGATGTTGACTGGACCGGATCAGTTGATGACAGAAAGTCTACTAGTGGTATTGCACCTTTGTGGGAGGAAACCTAGTCACGTGGAGAAGAAAGAAACAAAATGTTGTGGCAAGGTCTAGTGCTGAAGCTGAATATAGAGCAATGTCCCATGGAGTGGTTGAAGTCATGTGGATAAAGAACTTGATGAATGAGTTGGGATTTCCTGTTGATGGTCCCATATCCTTGTATTGTGATAACAAAACTGCTATCAACATTGCTACCAACCTAGTGCTCCATGATAGAACTAAACATATTGAGGTTGACAAACACTTTATTAGGGAGAAAATTATAAATGGGGAAGTGTGCACTCCATATGTCAGTTCCATAGATCAACTTGCAAACATCTTTACCAAGGGATTATATCATTCGCGGCACAATGATTTATGTGACAAGTTGGGCATGATTGATATCTATGTCCCAACTTGAGGGGGAGTGTTGGAATCAGTTAACCTCTTCTCTGAGGTGTTTTATTTATGTTTTCTATTCTTTAGTGMCGCAGGGGCACTTTTGTAATTTTCTTTTCTTTTTATTATGAGTTGGGTCGCCCTAATATATATGCTAATAGCTAGAACCACCAGCTACAAGTTTGAATCCATTTTCTTTGTCTCTCTTCCCTCTTCTCTCTTTCTCCCCTCCTGTTCTCCTTCTCTGATATCTCTCACCTGGAAACAGAACTAAACTTACAAAGTAAGGCAGCTATGTTTTTTGTGGAATGGGTATGGATTGGTGTTTCTTGATTGCGGGAATTTCATTTTGGTTTAATTTGGGTTTCTTGGATTGTGGAGTTCAGCTTGGGATTTTGTTTTTTATCTGTTTATGTTAGGGGGATAATTTGTAAGGGTAGGCTGGATAAAGGGTCTAAGTTTGTATTGGCAAGTGGTAGTGCGTGGGCGCCTGCCTTGGGGTTGATTATAGTGGGACTATTATTTCTTTCAAGTGATTGCTTATCACCTTTCCTTGTAACTTCTTTTTCTTTTAATAAATTTTATTTTGACCTTCAAAAAATTTAGAGAAAATACTTCCTGAAAGAATCAGCATGCAAAATGCTAGATCTTCTATGCATACACACAAGCATTTARCCGCCTAAAGGCATTATAAATGGATTAGAAAGCAGGTTGGAGAAATTAGAAACAATCAGGAATTCATGTGAATGCAGGGTAGAATGTATTGGCACATATGTGTACATGAGTATGCACATGCATATGAACATTCAGACCACAATATGAAGAAATTTATACCTTAAGACTCTCCTGCATCATCACAAACAGAAGACCAGGTGTTTCTTTCTCTATTACACTTTTTGTAGCTTCAGGAGTAACATCCCTCGGAGTGAAACCCGTACCACCTAGAACAAAACTTAAGAACTGTACATTATAAACTTGAATAAACCAAGAGAAATAACTTCCATTTTCAACCAAATAAGATGGAAGACCAACAATCAAGATCCTTACCAAGAGTTAGGATAAGGTCAATTTTGTCAATATCACTCCATTTCTGCAGAACATCTTTAATTTTGCCTACTTCATCTGGAACTACAGCTGTTGCAACCACCCTTGCTCCTCCCAATCTTTCTGATGATGAATTTACTACGGAAACTGCCCTTGGACCACTGGAGAGGTGCAGAGGTTAATCTGGAGTAATCCATCTCTTTGACAATAGGAAACTAGGTATGGCAGATCTAGATAAGCTTCACATACATGCACAAATATAATAGACTTTGCTCTTCTGGCAAAACACACAAAAGGGAATACTCGTGCTAAAGTTCAACTGTTTAAATTATCAACCAGTAGAAATAGTGGTTTGACTCAATCTCTGTATTGCTTTGAGTTATAAACTGAGAATCTACTTACAGAACCATCAAACGAGATCATTGAACAATCAAACCATTCAACAGTTCTAAAAGTCTTTGACGGTTATGATGCTTCCATGCAAGAAGGTATAGAAAACTTTTTTGATTGGTAACAAGATCAGAAACGTCATTGAAAGTAATTCACCAAAAAAGAAAATTGTAGTGAATATGGGAGGGCTGAACTGGATATGGAACTAACCTATATCCTTTTAGCAAAAAGTGGCTGCTCTCAGACTTGAGCCTACATTACTATGCTTGTTAGCCTGAGATTTTACATAGCACCAAGGAATGCCCCCTAGCTACAGCTGGATGATGACACAAAAACCTCTTTGTTGACTGAGAAGTAGTTTCTGATTTTTGTAACCAACTTTTATTTTTACTCCTCTTAAATTCCGGAAAGGAACCTTCTAATGAGGGTAACCATCTCTTTGAGGTTACCTTTGGTTCTGATAGAGTATATGTGGAAGGAGAGATCCTTTGATTGCTTATAGTTGAATTTTAAAATCCTCTAACCATCCTTGAATGCTATGACATCATATCAGAGAACTAGAAACCTTGTTCATTTGGATAACAAGACCAGCTGATTCTTTAGCAGGCTTCAGGGCTGGGGGTGGTGTTAGGAGGAGCAAGTCACACTGAGGATCAACTCTTCTTGGGGAATGATTTCTTGTTGTCTTTCTATTGTTTAACTCACCAATGCTTTCTTGGTCCTTATGCTATGGGAGAAGACAGATTGTACCTCTATCTTCCTCCTTAATTAATTGATTTGCTACTGAGAAAAGTATTTATCATTATACTGCTATCACATCATTGAAATAAAATATAAAATTCCCATTGTACATGATCAACAAAGAGAGATAGTAGAATCCTATCAGAAAGGAATTTTAATATAAAATAAAAGATAGTGTGCATCATCTAAGTGACCAACTACTATACATCATCCAACTAGGACACAGGTTGGTTGCTAGCATCTTTGAATGCCAAATAAGGTAATTTGTCAAGAACCAGTTAAAGCCTTGACAACATGGGTAAAGGGCTTGGTTAGATTCCTAATCCTAAATGATTTGATTAGAATCCACAACCCACTTGATTTGGTTAGAATCCTTCTTGAAAGTGTGGCCGGCCAGAAATAAGATGAAGAGAAGAGAAGAGAAGAAGAAGAGAGAAGGGAGAAGAGAAGAGAAGGGATTGGCAATGTAACAGTGCTGGCGGCGCCAACTTTTATTATAATATATATAGGGCGGCAGAAATAAGAAGGGAAAAGACC